CCTCCGAAACCTCAGCGGGGTCTCAGGCACGTCCGAAAGCTGCGCGTCGCCGCCTTTATTTTATCCAACTCAGCGGGCTTCGCCTGAGTCGGATTCGCAAAGCGCCGCCCTCGCGGGAGCCGTCCCGCCACCGGCCAGGAGTTGTCCGCATTATCCCTTGGAGCATCTCAGGCGTCTGCCGTGCGGCCCGTGCCCGCCAACAGGGCGCTGGCGGGCCTTCGCGGCGGGCGGGCAGCTTTCCGCCCGTCACCCCTGTTAATTCGAGGCGTTTGCAGGCAGCATCGATATGCCTTTTTCCTTTCTTTTGGGTTTTTTTCCCCCCCCTCCCCGCTCTCGCTGCTGCTGGCTGGTGTGGCCTGGCTCGTTTTCTGGTTTCTTATTCTCTTCGCGTTGCAGCCGGGAAGGGCAGGGGGAAGGAAAACGCGTGCGTGCACGAGAGAGAGAGAGGGACGGAGGGAGGCTGGGAAGGATGCTTTAGCCGAAACACCTGCAGGACTTGATAGAAAAGAGCTCCCCCCTCCCCTTTTTTTTTAATAGTCCAATTTCACCAGAAAATGGGACAATTTGCTGATGCGTTAATTTTGTCGGGAGCTACTGTATTTGTTTCCACTTTAGTTCACGCGCTGCCTTGTTGGGGGCTGCGGGTTCGTCGGTAGGAGATCCTCCCGCTGGATAAAAGCGGAAGACGGAGCCGCTAGTGAGGCAGAGTTGTTATTTTTGCTTTACAGCCAGAGACGCGACCCCGTCACCCCAGACGCTGGGACGCGACGGAGGCAGGATTTGGGGGTCTGCTCCAAACCGGCAGCGCTGAAAACCATGTTCAGCCGCTGCCGAAGCTCGATGGCGTTTACCTGGCACGAGCCAATCTTGGCTTTACTGGTGAGCTCTCCCTCATGCTGCGCCTCTGTGTCCTCAGGCCTGACCAACTCATCGCTTCAGCCCTTCGGTATCAAGGGACGCTGAAGTCGAGCGGCTCGTCTCACCCGCTTGCAGGGGTAGGAGCCAGCGCCCAGATTACGACACCCACATTGGATGTCCCCATGCTCTTTGGGGGAGCTACACGTGGTCTCTGAGCACCCCTAAAATGCACCTCGCAAAGTGCCGTGCCACCCGTGCCGTGTCCCACACCGTCAAACGTTCGCGCGGTCCCGGGTGCAGATTTGGCCACCTTGCCACGGAGGCAGGGGGTCCCAGCACGGCCCGTGGCGTGAGCAGGGAGGGTTTGGC